TGGGGAGTGGTTAACATCATTACTGTATTGAATCTTCTAATCCATGAACACATACCTCTCCATCTATTTAGATCTTCTTTGATCTCTCTCATCAGTGTTTTACACTTTCCAGTATACAAGTCCTGTACGTGTTTTGTCAGATTTACAGTTAAGTATTTCTCTTTTTTTTTTAGCAACTCTAAATGGTGTTGTATTTTTTGTTTCAGTTTCCATGTGTTAATTGCTGTTGGTGTTGTTAGATGCCATCGAGTCGGTTCTGACTCATAGCAAACCCGTGTAAAACAGAATGAAACCCTGTCTGGTCCTGCACCATCCTCACAATCGTTGCCATGTTTGACCCCATTGTTGCTGCTGCTGTATCAATCCATCTCATTGAGGGTCTTCCTCTTTTTCACTGACCCTTTCCTTTGCCAAGCAGGAGGGACCATCCCTCCAGATAAGAAGTCCAAAGTACTTGGGTTGAAGTCTTACCATCCTTGTTTTTAAGGAGCATTCTGGCTGTACTTCTTCCAAGACAGATTTGTTCCCTTTGTCTTCTATTCTGCAACCTTGCTGAACTCACTAGTTTTAGGAGTTTCCTATGTGGCAAAAGGAAAACCAAGGGAACTTCCCAGTCATTCCTTGGGTCCTGAGGTCCCTAGCTGGTCCATCATCTTTCCTACCTTTCAGTGTGTTCTTATGTTTATTTTACAGCTAATGTCTAGACTCTTCAGTTGTACCTAGTGAGAGGAATAGGGGAAAGTATGTCTACTCCATCATCTCAGAAGCAGAAGTCTAAATCTTAAAATTTAAAAGAAATAACTCTTCCTCACAAGAAACACTGGGAGACAGAATAGTACTTGTCTGTGTATCAAATACAGTGATTACAAATTGGAGGCTTACTGTTCAAATAGGTAGCAGTAGGGTTTTTTTTTTTTAAATTTAATTGCCCGTAAGGGGGTATACTGTACTCTCCAGCTCCACAGTGCCCAGCTGTTAACTGCCCCATAGAGGCCCGTGAGCCCTCTGCCCCTGATTTAATATATAAGTCATGAGGTCGAACTATCAACAATCGATTACGGCTACGAATTTGGAAAGATCATGCTCAAGCTGCCCTTTCTATAGACCAGTGTCTCAAATATTAACCAAGACCTAGCTCAAGCAGAATGAAGCCTTTCCCATACGTTGTTTCCCCTTTCCCGGGACCTGCTAGTCCAGGATCTTCTCCCTTTCCTTCAGTGTTTAGAGGAGAGATCTAGCTACTGTGTGTGCATGGGTGGAGGGGGCAGTAGGAAGAGGAAGAAAGGGACTGAGAGGTGGTGATAACGGTGGTGGTGATGGTGATGAAGATGAAGCAAGAGGAAGATGATCACATTAAGATTATAGAGTCCTCATTTCCAGAAGGCTGGAAAAATCAAATCCTTTTGGACAAAAGAGAACTGAAGAATGATCTCATAAGAAAGGCATTTAGAGCTTTATGAGGCAAGCCAACCCTTTTTATCTTTACAGATAAGGAAACCATCACTCAGAGAGGTTATGCAAGATCACCAAGCCAACCAGCACTAATTTTACTACTCCATCTTGTCCCCTCTTTCTGGGCTAGTTCTTTGCAAACAATGGAAGCTGTGATCCACTGTGTCACTTCTACCAATGTTGTTGTTGTTGTTATGTGCCGTTGAGTTGGACCCGACTCATAGCGACCCCTCCTTGGGTTTCCGAGGCAGTATCACTACGGAAGTAGATTGCCCAACCTTCCTTCCGAGGAGTGGCTGGTGGGTTTGAACCGCCAGCCTTCTGGTTAGCAGTCAAGTGCCTTAGGCACTGTGCCACCAGAGCTCCTACTTCTACCAATAGTTCCTAAAAATGTTTCATTACAATTGGTAACTGTACTTTTTGTCCATCTCATCTACAGCAGACTACCTTCAGACCCAGTTCTTAAAGTATTGTGACAAATTCAAGAGAAAGGACTTTGCTGTTGTTAGTTAAGTAAAAAATGAAAGCAACAGCCTTAGTAGTTGGGGGGCAAACAAAATTGAACATATTTCTCTTTTCTTTTCTGGTAGTTTTAATTAGATGACTGGATATTAAAGCACACATTTTTTAATTTAGTCCATTTATTATTTGGATCATAGCTATCTACTCCTTCAGCTGGGACAATGTTTACAAACTGTCACTCACACATTGCCTCTGCAAGTTCCATACGCTGCACCTACATACTACCTATACTACTATTGTTGTTGTTGTTATGTGCTGTCAAGTGGGACCCGACTCATAGCGACCCCTCCTTGGGTTTCAGAGGCGGTATCACTATGGAAATAGATTGCCCAACCTTCCTGTACTATTACTTATTAATATTTATCTTCATACTGATTTTAAATCCACTTGTTATACTTTATCCTCCTCTAATGTCTTTTCTCCTAGACATTAACATAATTACATAACTATTAAGCTAAAAGATGTCCCTGGGCATACCATGTAGGCTCACCTCACATGCTACTAGTGGTTTTCTTACCTCACTTTGGGTGAACAGACAAGGAAACAATTGTTCTCAACATCTAACAACTGTTGCTCATTAATCACCTTTACAGGAACGTACCAGAAATGAGCTCAGTACACGGAAACCTGGAAAGCCTGCAGCAGTGGTTCTCAGAGTGGCTTTTGCACTTAGTCCCCACCCCCAAAGGTTCTGAGTCACTAGGTCTGGGATGTGGCCCAAGAAGGTCCATTTCTATGGCATCCCAGGGAGTGCTGATGTGCAAAGACCTAACTAAGGAGCACATTTTGAAAAACAACGGCAAACAGGAGATATAGAATTTTTTAAACTACTCTAACTTTTCAATAGGGTAAAACCAAACAAACAAAAGAGGCTAACTGGGATTCAAATCCCAAGTCTAACCATCATAATCCTAAGGAAGTCACTCAACCTCTCTCAGCCTCAGTTTCCTCACTTGTAAATAAGGATTATAACAATAGCTACCTCATGAGGTCATGTTAAGGTTTAGCTGAATATTACAAAATCACAGAGCCCTCCACACGTTAGATGTTTGATGACGATGAAGAAGAATCAATCTAGCAGCCTATACAATGGGCCAACCCCATGCAATGGCTTCATGCCACAAGGGTCCCAAAGGCTCATCTTAGTTACCCTCATTTTAAGAACTACTTTATAAGTAGCTTATAAAAATACTTTTGTGGTTTAGAAACATTATGCTTTTATCATTTAAAAAAAAAAAAAATCTCTCCTCAAGGAAAGCACAGAACTCCGGAATAAGAAATTGAATGTCAACTCTGCAGTCCTGCTTGTAGGGCAGCTACAATAAAGACAGCTAGAAAGCGTGTGCTTTTAGTCTAATTCCAAGGCTTTAGCTATAGAAAAACCTTATTTTCTTCTTAATGCTATCTGTTGCACCATTCCAACATAAGCTGAATGTGCTATACAAAATTTGTAAATAGAGTAAAAATTTTTTTTTAAAAAAAGACTGTAGCTACAGCGTGTTAAAGTACAGATTAATGTGACCTATTAAAGGCTGCAAAGCTACACACGCACATAGTCCACAGGCAGTCCTTCATGGGACCCAAACCCACTAACAACTCTTCAACTCTTGTGAAAACATCACAGTTAACTCATAGTTATCTGTGAAGAAAATCACTCCAAGGGCTGGGAGCAGTTCTCTGCCTCAGCGTGGCAGTTTCTCAGTGACAATGGGCGACAGGGCACCCAGGCCTAGTGTGGCCAGCAGCTGCTCAGTGACTTATCGGCCTGGGTGAGACAGTGGAGCTGCCCAGCCAGGGCACAAAGGCTGGGGCCAGCACCTCTGCAGTGGGCCAACATGAAACCCAGACAGTGGGGAGACCTACTAACACATACGCTGCCACTCTTCCAGTTGGGTGGACTGTCCCATTCCACGTCTCCACAGCTCGGCTTTCCTTTGGTGGTGCAATCCACAGCATGGGATGACAAGGGTGACGCAAAAAAGCAAGATAGCGCAATGTCACTTAGGCAACCTCTTGTCACTTTGCACGCTTGTTAGGTTATGCACTAAAGAGAACCTGAGGCTAAAGCCCCCAGTCAAGGAGCAGCTGTTGCTAAAAGAAGCCATTATGATCCTCACTGGCGTTCTGTAGTGAAGAACGGCTGGTAGGTTAGAGCCTGGCAAGGCCCGTGATCTTGAGAGACTGCTGTCCAGGATAGTGCATGTAATTCACACAGGCTTGTATCTTGGACCAGCAGGCAAGCATGACTACAACATGTGAAACCTCAGTCCAACCAAGCACAACAGACTCCTGAATGGTCAACATGCTCTCATCTACTGCACTTGTTAACAGCTTATCGACATTAAAAGCCCAGTTCTTCTTTAGCCTTAACAAAGATGAAGCCTGCAACTTTTTATTTGTTAGTTGACTCAATAGGTATTCATTGAGCACCTACTATGTTCCAGGGTTATGCTGGAGAACCAGGTGTGAGTGAAAGAGCCCCAGTCCCTGCCATCCAGGGGCCTACCACACTTAACTTTAGACCAAGCAGGGAACCTAACTTGTAAAATAAACAAGAGCATCTCACTTCAGTGACAACAAAACAATGCGGCTACCCGTACAACCCTTTTGAGATTCTACAAGTTTTCCGCATCGTGGTTTCACGTATTCAGAACGTACTAAAGGTTAGCTGAATACTCACAGATAGTACCTAAATGCAAAAAGACATCATAAAGTTAGGGAAGAAAGCCAGAATAGTAACAAAGAAAACACACACATTTTTTCCTTAGAACACGGAACCTGATTTTTAAGAATGATAATGGCCTAAAAATAGCTCTTCCTCTCAATTGCAAAACTCTGACCACATGTACTAGAAAGTGTACTGGGTCTCTCTGCAATTTCAGACCTTACAACAGAGAACTCCCATCATTCCCCAGCAGACAGCAGGGGAGCACCCAAGGGGTCACGGACTCTGGAGTTAGAACAGCAGAGCCTCCCAGCCAGGAGTTAGCACATGGAACACGAAGGAAGCACGCAATGTCGCTTACCTTGCACTCTCTGGATACATTGTCTGATGTCACTGAACCTGAAATCTGACTAGAAATTGTAGCAGCTATAAGCTGTTTACACCACTCAACATGAGATCCTGTAGGACTAAAAGAAATAGTGTCATTAAACAATTTCAAATCATAGACTGTTGGGGAGAAAATGAGCACTTAGTAGGGCTATATGGACATTGTCTTTTGGAGATGAATGAGTTTTTATTAGAGCAGCTGGTTACCTTTGTAGGGGATACAAGGACAGCTAGGAAGAAAGGTTAGTTTCAGGTGAATGTCAAGGGAATCAACCAGTTCAACCAAGTTTCTTTTAAGAGGCTAGGTATCAGTTAAGCATGTTGTTCTCTATCATTTCATGGAATTTGACTCTATTACAATTGCATGGAATGAGTATTACTAATGTCAGCTACAGAAAATAAACTGGAATGTGAAATATATGCCAAGCCTGAGCTCCATAAAAAAGACTGTGTTCTATAATACACAGTTGATAGCATATGCTTGTCACACGTTCAATCAATTTCACGTTGGTTGTTCTAAATCTAGAGTACAGCATAATTTGTAGTGAATCAAAGCAATTGTTCACAGAAGACATTATATGATTTTATCAAGAACAAACTAGGAAAACAGTGTTTGGCCCACAGGGACAATCATATCTCATGGTCCCTAAGGGCTGTCGTCATATCTGAGCCTCACAACCACTGTGGGACAAGATGGCAGAACAGGGACAAGCCAACTCATATCCGACCTGAGACAACTGAG